AAACCGTGGCTGGCGACATAACAATCGGCAGAAACGGCCAGGGCCAGCTCACTTCCCTCTCCTTCCCCAACTTGCAGCGACACAACTACAGCCTGACTTTTCAGAGCAATGGCCTCCAGCATATCGACTTTGCAGTGCTCACCTGGATAGGCGGGCACCTGGATCTCTACAGCAATTCGCTCGCTTCCTTTCACTTCCGCAACATCAGTTACATTGGCGATTTTCTCTGGCTGCGACAAAACAAACTCACAACCCTAGACTTTGGCGCCCTCACAGAAGTCGGTGGATACCTTGACATGGGTGAGAACGAACTGACCACGCTCGCATTCTCAAACCTTCAGCGAGTCGGAACATTCCTCTCCTGCCGCGAAAACATGCTGCAGCACGTTTCGTTCGATGCCCTGCAGTTTGTCGGCAACAGCATCAGTTTCCAAAATAACCCTGATCTGCTGCAAATCGCCTGCAATGACACTGTCATTGCTCAGTGCATTGACGTCCCAGCGACCACAGCTCTCATTGACTGCCCCAAGAGCTGCTAGCAAACTGCTTGATTGTTTGTGTTTGTGTGTGTGTGTGTGTGTGTTTGTGTGTGTGTGTGTGTGTGAACAGTTTGTGCTTGATCTCAATTTTAGCCCGCTGTCTTTCTTCATCCGTATCTGGCTCTACGTAATCAAGAAATGAATTCGAAACTGACGGGTAGACTACACAATCGTCACTGTGAGGGGGCGGGGAGCGATACAATGGATAAAATGCAGAGCAACCGCAACAAGCAAGAACATGAGGGCAATGAACAACCACAACAAAACTGTAGAAACACGACAGGTGGTGTGTGTGTTTACTGTAGGCAAGCGCAACAAACAAGAACACAAGGAGAATGAACAAGCACAACAAGCTGCTGCCAAATCAACTCGGGCAGCACGCTCAAACAAACACAAGACAAGTGCACACACAGTCAACAACGCTGCCAAGGCGACATGGGCAGAGTGTGCACGAGCACAAACAAACTAAACAATGAACAGCATGCATACATGCGCGCAGAGCAATGCTAAGCATGGCATGAATGCTTGCAGGCAAGCATACACAACAGACAACACTTCACAACACTGCATGGCACGCACACATGGCATCCGTCAAGGATGACGGGCATGCACATATGTTGACAGGCAAGTCCTGTCTGCTGAGTCATCATTGACCTCCCTTCTTTACGACACCACAAATTTACATTCACCTCTCTTGTGTTCTGGAATGTTCACGTGATTTCCCTCCAACCTGTTGCACGTGCAGTGTTTTCCTTGTGTGGTTGCTCGATGTTACATGCTCTTGCATAACACACCACATAACCACACAACTCTCAACAAACACTGCCACGTCACCACTTTGCGTTGTCGACAATTCTTGTCTTCTGCTCTGTTTCTTTCTGTTGGAGGTTCATTCATCCTACATCCTTGTTTGCTTCACAACTCAAGTAAACACACACAACTCTCTCTTGCCAAGACAATCTCCCACACAACACACAGCACACACAGCACACACAGCACACACACACACACACACACACACAAGTCTCCAACAACAGCACCACCACCATGAACTTACAACAGATTATGAGACCCAGCTCAATTAGCGCAGACGGCATCAAGGTCTTCGCTGGCGCTGAGCAGGATGCCAACCTCTTCTTCATCACCGTCGAGGCCCAAGCTCATCGCCGCTGGCATCGACGCTGGCATCATCGCCGAGGGTGGTGCTGACCACCAAGGAGACGGGCAGGCCCCAGCAGCTGCCTCATCGCCGAGCCCAAGCACCCACGGTGCTTCGGGTCCCCGCACTCGCTCCCGCGCTCAACGCGGCCCTCGCCGCACTGGCGTCCGCCACGACGCGGGGGACCACGACGACGATGACGACGACGAGGGCGATGGCGACGACCACGGCGCTCACCCATCTTCCTCCTCTTCCTCTCTCCCTTCTTCCGCCACTCCGAGCGGAGGAGCGCAGGTGGCGTCCCGAGCCTCTGGCCTGCTGGATCCCCGTGATCCACAGGTTGACGCAGCCATCTTCGCGTTCCTCCTTGGCGTCCTGACGGGACACCCGCTGCGGCTGGCCATCACCGACAATCGTGGCCGCTCAGGTGTGCTTGCGCTGCGCCGCCTCCGCGAGCGCTACATCCGCAGCGGCAAGGACCACGTCAGTCGTCTCAGGCAGCAGCTCTCCTCGACCACCTGGTTGCCCACGGACACCGTTGACACGTTCATGTCCCGCATCACGGACATCAACTCGCAGCTCCTCGCTGCCGGCGTGTCCATCCCGGAGGACGACCTGCGCACCCTCGTCCGCAACGAACTCCCCGCAGAGTTTGATGTGGCGATGCGGTTCATGGAGCGCGAGGACCCGCCGCCATCGCTGTCCAAGATGACGGCGGACCTCATCCAGGAGGAGCGCCGCCTGCATCGTCCCAAGAAGCGCACGCCCGTGCTCGCCATCGGCGGGCCAGGCTCTGGCTCCT